GGTCAACTGCCCATCTACTTCTCCTCCAGGAGCACAGGTCTCTCGGAGTCAGACTATTCTGATCACGGCTTTGGCTCTGCTGTCCATTATGGTGACCATCCCCACTTGTCTTCAGTGGCCAAGGGCCACTGCCTGGCCCAGCCACCCCAGAATCTAGTTATCCCTGCCTCAGAACCCTCTCTGTGGAAAAAGACAGAATTCCAGGGACCTCTGAAAACAGGTGTGAAGTTGTGCCTCAAACCCCAACAGACTGGAAGTTCATTCAACGAGAACCCACCTGGTGCTGCTAGGCCCCACCTCCGTCTGGTCACCACTGCAGGGGGCGTGGTGAGCTGCGAGCAGGAAATGGGAGCAGAGGCCTCCCCCAATCGGGAGGCACACCCCAGGCCCTTCCTGCAAGAGGCTTTCCAGAAAATCCTGAGAGATAAGAGGACAGTAACCCACAAAGTAACATAGGTGGCTGCTATTCAAAAGAAACATTTGGAGATTAAAAAATAAATCTTAGAAATTAAAAATATCACAAAAATGGAAGGGTAGGAGGAAGATGAAACTCAAGAAATAGTAGAACAAAAAGACAAGGAGAAAAATGAGAACGCTATCAGAAGATCAATCTAGGACGGCCGATAACCAGACAATGGGAGTTCCAGAAGGAACACACATTAAAACTGAAAGGCAGAACCACATCAAATGCTTACCAAACACCTGTGCCAACGACCCCCAAGAGCCAGGAGACCCCCACGAGGAGCACCCGTTGGCGGCTCTGTGGGAGCTCTCTGTGGAACTGCGGCACGTGTGGCCCTGTGCATGCCCCTCCAGCTTGGGCTTTTGCAGTTCAGTGCTCCCTGCATTTTTGCTACTTTATCCATTTAAAAACTCTTATAAGTGTTGCTTTTGTACACATCTACTTTCAACTTGGTTTTGTGTTATTAACATTGCTTTGAGGTGGATCCAAGTCAGTCTGTGCAGATCTAACAGGAATCAGTGCCTTGAATCCGAGTTGGCAGTGATGTGGGAAACAAAGGCAGAAGGAAAGGTAGATAAAATTTTTTGTCCTTCTACCCTGCAGCCTACTGACAAATACTGCGTTACTGTTAATGCCTGGCTACAAGGAAAAACCACCTTGGTCTGACAATAGCAAGGGCTCTGGTAACCCATGTCGTCCTTAGCAGATGAAGATCCTTTTGGAACCTCCTTTTACTCCCCACCCCACCCCAAAGTACAGTATCATTTGCTCCTCATACCCCCCAGCAGCAGCTCTTTCTGCCCACGGGTCCTGTCCCCGTCTTAATAAAACCACCATTTTGCACTGAAGACATCTCAAGAATTCTTCCTTGGCCGTCAGCTCTGGACCTCACCTCTTTCCAAAAACTACATAGTAGTGACTAACTACTGCATCCCCTTGAGGATCGACTGACTACAGTTGCCTCAGCGAATGTGCCCATCCACACACGCTGGGCTTCATCATGGGGTCTGTGCACCTTCGGCTTAGCTAGGTCTTGCCAGGCGCCGAGCCAGGTCCCATCAGTGACAGCGACACAAGATGTCTCGTCCCGACCCACATCCTGACCATCAGTCGGTGTTGTCCCACATCTGTACTTGTTGGTTTAATTTACCTTTCTCTAATTACTGGGGTGCCAGTACCTCCCTTTCATGGGCCGGGCTCATCTGCTTAAAAACAAGGCCGTGTGCCCTGGCCTCCCTGTGCCCCCTTCCCAGTGGCTGGGAAGAGTGCTGCCAACAGCTTCTGATGCAGCCACGGAGCCAACACGGGGCCCCGTGGCGTGACCCAGAGCAGAGCCTTCGACCTGCCTGGGACGCCGACCTTCCCCTGCACCTCTGTGTGGGGGAAATAGCCTCCCAGCTTCTGTAAGCCACAGGATCTAAGGATCTCCATGACGGCAGCCGAGCCTACACTCGAATCAACGGTCCTGCCCATTTTTCTACCGAACTGGCTTTTTCTCATTCTGGCATACGAGCTCTCTACCTAGCTGGGTATGAATCCCTGGGTGAGAATACAAGTGGATACTACAAGCATCTTCTCTAGCCTCAGGTTCATCTTCTCACTTTTGTGTTTTTTTTTTTAAGATTTTATTTATTTGACACAGAGAAACACAGGAAGAGAGGGAACACGACCAGGGGGAGCGGGAGAGGAAGAAGTAGGCTTCTCGCTGAGCAGGGAGCCCAATGTGGGACTCGATCCCAGGACCCTGGGATCACGACCCCAGCCAAAGGCAGACACTCAACGACTGAGCCACCCAGGGGCCCCATCAGTTGGCCTTTTGTTAAAAGAACATTTCTAAATTGCCAGATTGTTCTCCAAAAGGATTAACCAACAGACATTCCCAAATAGCAGTGTGTGAAAGCGCTTATTCACTATCTCCAGCTGGTACTGTGTATTCTTCCTTTCTATTTTTTTTTTAATTCTTATTAACCTGATCATTGAAACCTAGATTTTTATTATTTTAATGTTGACATAGCCCCCCACTGGAGGGCTGGGGTCGGGCCTGCTCTGGGATGCCACGTGGCGACCCCAACTCCAGCTCACGTCTGAGTCCTGGGGAGGATTCTCTGCATGCCACCAGCAGGTGAGGGGAAGACAGCACACAGATGGGGTGGGATGGGAGGCTTTCAGAGACCAGGCCCGGAAGTGACCTACATCACTCCTGCCCACCACTCAGTCCCATGACCTCCTCCACCCCATGATGGCACAGAAGGGCAGAAACTGCTCAGCTATGTTCCCAGGACCAAAACTCAGAGAGGTCTGAGCACCTTCCACCTCAGTTACCACAGGCACCCCTCTTAAGGGCAAGATTTGGGGCCGTTCCCTGCAGCACTAGGTCTTTCACCATGCAGGCACTTAGGAAAGAATATCCCAAAATAGCCACAGGTGGTAACTGCAGACTGGGGTCACT